GGTGAAGTGGGTGCGCTGCCGCTATCTGCGGCGCCTGGCCGCGGAAGGGCGCGCCATGACGCGGTGCCAGGAGGTGCCGCCGCACGAGGCGATCTGCGGGCGCGCTGGCTTCCCGCTCTCCAGGGACGTGCCCAAGGACCGGTTCGTCCTCTCGCACCCGTGGCTGTCCAGGGAGCACCCCGACCCCGCAGGGCTCAAGCTCCAGGAGCTCGTGCGGCAGCTGGACCTGCTGGACGCAGGCGACCTGGACGCCGTGTTCGTGGATTTCATGAGCCTGCCGCAGAACAGGGGTCGACCGGAACGGAGCTTGGGCGGTCCCGTGGGCCGTTTCCGTTTGGACCTCGTTTCGCCGCAGGGGCGGACTGGAGACAGAACGAGGGAGAACGAAGGCAAAACGAACACGAAGCACACTGGTCAGGTCCCAGACATGCGACGTCCTGATTGTTTCAATACGGGGTCCCTCTGGAAGTCCCGACCCTTTCCCCGGGACCGGCTTTTTGTCCTGAGTCGTTGTTTGACGCTTCCGAGGCCCTGCGAGGGGCCCCCGAGGCCGAAAACTGTCAAAACCTTCCGTCCTGATTTTTTCGCGACGCGATCATGTCTGGGGAGGGAACGAGGGAGAACGAAGACAACACGAAGACGAAGCGCACGGTTCTGGTCGAGCCCTGCCGCAGCACGACAAGGCCCACCCGTGGCTGCGGCAGCTGGAGCGCGAGGGCAGGCCGTGCCCCGCCCCCGGGCGCCACCCGGCGGTCCGCACGGCGGCGGAGGAGCGCCTCTTCAGGGAGGCCCTCTCGGCGATGGAGCAGGTGTGCAGTACGGGCAGCACCAGGGTGGCCCAGACACGATCGCGTCGTCCTGCTCCTCTCCTCCTCCTCCTCCTCCTCCTCCTCCCCTCTCCTCCTCCTCCTCCTCCTCCTCCTCCTCACTCCTCCTCCTCCTCCTCCTCCCCCTCCTCCTCCCCTCCTCCTCCTCCTCCTCCTCCGCCTCCTCCTCCTCCTCCTCCTCCTCCCTCCGCCCTCGTCCTCCTCCTCCTCTCCTCCTCCTCCTCTCCTCCTCCTTCCCTCCTCCTCCTCCTCCTCCTCCTCTCCTCCTCCTCCTCCTCCCCTTCTCCTCCTCCTCCTCCTCCTCTTCCTCCTCCTCCTCCTCCTCCTCCTCCTCCTCCTCCTCCTCCTCCCCCTCCTCCTCCTCTCCTCCTCCTCCTCCTCCCTCCTCCTCCTCCTTTTCTCCTCCTCTCCTTTTCCCTCTCTCCCTCCTCCTCCTCCTCCTCTCCTCCTCCTCCGCCTCCTCCTCCTCCTCTCCTCCTCCTCCTCCTTCCTCCTACCACTCCTCCCCTCCTCCTCCTCCTCCTCCTCCTCCTCCTCCTCCTCCTCCTCCTCCTCCTCCTCCTCCTCCTCCTCCACCTCCTTTCCCCAGACGGAAGGAGAAGTGAGAACGGGAAGTGAGCAGTGTGCAGTACGGTTGTGGACGACGATCATTGGAGAGGAAGCATGTTGCCCAATCATTTCCAGATGTCTTGCAAACATGTTTCAACCATGTCTTAAGCATGTTCGAACAACATGGTCTGCTCCTGAAACAAATCAGGGCGGGAGGCTTTTGGCCGTTTTCGGCCTCTTGGGAGCCCTCGCCAGGCCTCGGGGCCGTCAACAAAAACGCCTCAGGAGGCAAAGCCGGTCCCGGGGAGAGGGTCGGGACTTCCAGGGGCCCCGCAGTCATTGAAAACTCAGGACGTCGCATGTCTTGGGGCAGGTGTACAGCACGGGCAGCACCAGGGTGATAGTCCTCCCCAGTCGGCGGCGAGCGCGGGGGGGGGGGGCCGCCAGCGAGCAGGAGAGGGCCTTCTCAAGGCAGGCGGCGGGGCTTCTCCGAAGACCTCCGGCCTGCGGAGAGGTTTTCTGTGTCTCCAGTCGGGGGCAACGGTAGGGGGGCATAGGCATAGGGGGGATGCATCGACCCCCAGTAGCCCATTGATCGCCGATAGGGGTCCGATAGCCCCAACCTGCCCAGGAAGGTGCGGATTCATTATCGGAGGCCTATCGCCGATCTGTTGGCGATGTATCGCCGATTCCAGGTCGATGCATTCCCCCCCTATGCCAGTCCCCCCCTACCGTTGCCCCTCATCCAGGGAGGGCTCAGGAAACTTCATCAGAAGGCCGGGGGGCTTCCGAGCCTTCTCAGATGGCCTTCTCCTTCTCACTTCTCAGGAGGGGAAAAAAACACACAGACACAATGAATCGTCGATTCCCAAGAGAGTATGGGAAAATATGGGAAGTGTGGGGGGAGACAAAAACCCAGAAAATATTGGAACATATCGGGAATATCGTTATTTGTGTGTGTATATATATATATATATATATATTTGCGTGTCCTTGGGCCCCTTGAACTTCCCCCCCGGGCTCGCCGCCGACCCATGGACTGCAGCGTCGAGCCGGGCAGGGAGTACATCAGGCGTGGTTGGTGCTTCCTGGAGTTCTGCCTGGCGCTGAGCTTCGGCAACATCTGCAACGCCGATATCCACGAGCCCGTCGCGCGCCTCGTAAGAGAGGCGACGGGCCAGCGGGCGAACACAGTGGACGGCTTCAGGGCAGCCTTCCAGCACACGCATTTCACCAGCAAGGGGGACGCCGACGTCGTGCTCGGGCTCTTCGAGAACACCCTCGACAAGCAGACCAGGCGCTGATCAAGCTTGCTGCTTGCTTTGCCTTTGTCAGCCCACGCTGTTCAAAAATGTACATGCTGTCTTTGCCCGATTCGTCTTATCTAGGATGTGTCATCTCGTGGGGGCGCCGTCGCAATGAGCACAGCTGACGTTGGAGGGCGCGTGCAGTTGATGTGGCTGCTCGTGCAGCCCGGCGAGAAATGACTCCGTGCTTGAGGCTGTTGGCTCATCAGTTGGCAGCGGCAGCGGGAGCGCGAGAAGCAGGTTGGCGGCGCATCATTCTGACATTTTCTGACGCCTCCTGAATGGCCTCCCGGGGGACCCTCGCGGCCACGACTGGGCGAGAACCATTCCGCCAGGGCGGACCCCGAGAGGGGACCAGGGGTCTTGTTTTGAGCGGATTTGGGGGTCGGGGGCGGAGCGAGGAAGTGGTGGTTTTCAAAGAGGGCGCCACCGCCACCTTCTTTTTTTTCCTGCACACCCCATCCCTCCCTTTCCCCCCCATCCCTCTGTCCCTCTCTCTCCTCCAATCACCGTAACCCTCAAGGGAGGGAGGGTGGGTGCGAGGGATGAAGGGGGGGAGGGACGGAGACAAGAGCGGTCGTAGTGGTGGCTTGAGGGAGGGGAGGAGGGATGGGATGGGAGGAGGGGCGGGAGAGGCGGGTAGCTGTGTTGGTGATGATGACGGTGCCCTCGAGGGAGGAAGGGAGGGAGGGAGGGATAATGGGAGGGGGATGAAGGGAGAGAGGGCGAGAGCAGGGGGGGAGAGGCAGGAGGGAGGGAGCAAGGACCAGGTGGATGGACGATATATGGGTAGAGATGGTGGTGAGGATAGCGGTGATGGTGATTGTAGTAAGGATGGCGGTGATGCCTCTTGGGGCTTGTTGGGCCCCTGTTTCAGGCAGTCGGGCCAGTTGGATGTTCAGTGCTGCCTGGGGGGGGGCGCTCTGAGGAGTCCTATGGCTGTCGGTGATGTCTTGCGTGTCAGCCGTTTGGGCTTGTTCCAGGCCGCCATGAAGCGGGCGGGCCTGGGGAAGAGGTGAGGTGTTCCACCGCTCCACGCGAAGAGCGGAAGACTTGCTGCACTGAGTAAGTAAGATAACGCTCAAGGATTTCTGCTTAAGAGTGCGACCCTGCAGGCGTCTTTACGGCGGAAGCAACTTCGCAATGAACGTTCATCGTGGGAGAGAGAGGGAGTTAGATATAGAGAGGGAGGCACGAATTAGTGAGTGAGTGAGAGAGGCAGAGAGAGAGGGCTAGAAAGAGAGAGAGAGAGAGAGAGAGAAAAAAACAAAAAGAGAGAGAGAGAGCCAACAACCAGAGAGACGGGTCTGACACACAAACGCACACAAACGCACACACACACACACACACACACACACACACACACACACACACACACACACACGCACACACACACACACACGCACGCACACGCACACGCACACGCACGCACACGTACACACGCACACACAACTGCAACGCTCGGCGGTTGATATTTCGGAGTATTTACCGCGCGCCGTTGCGCGCAAATCACTGGAGCAAAACATGGATGCTGTAAACTTTGATTTATTCAAAGCCAGATCACACCTGCAGGACCAGCATAAGAGACTCAGCAGTTCGATGCGCTCTCTGTGCGAAGGGAAAGGGTTTCCAAACTGGGTCTACGTTTTTCTTTGGGAGCAGCAGCGCGTCCCGAGACGCGGGCTCAACTTCTGAAGCACGACGGCCCCCGCAGCGGCGTACGACACCTGCTCGGAAGCGTTCCCCCTGGATGGGTTCCTGAGAGGACGAGGAGGGATTGAAGCGGCAAGTGTGAGGGAGAAAGAGAGCGGAAAGAGAGAGACCCAGACATGATAGCGCCGTACAAAATCAGGATTGGCGCTGTTTGGCCGGGCCTCGGGACGTCCCTTGGGAGCCCTCGCCAGGCCTCGGGACCGTCAAACAACGACTCAGGATGAAAAGCCGGTCCTGGGGAAAGGATTGGGACTTCCAGGGACCGCGTACCGAGAAAATCAGGACGTCGCATGTCTGGGGAGCGAGCCGTGCGAAGCATGGAGCCGCGCTCTTCGCCTGTTGCCCTTGCCCCTCCCCGTCCTCATTACCCTCGCCCTTCCTGCCCGGCTGCCGAGGCAGCAGCGCTACCGCGTAGTCCTTCTCCCCCTTCTCCTCCTCCTCCTCCTCCTCCTCCTCCTCCTCCTCCTCCTCCTCCTCCTCCTCCCTCCTCCCTCCCCTCCTCCCCTCCTCCTCCTCCTCCTCCTCCTCCTCCTCCTCCTCCTCCTCCTCCTCCTCCTCCTCCTCCTCCTCCTCCTCCTCTTGTCCGCGCTCTGCCAGCCCGCAG